TTGAATTTGGAATTTTATACAAGGCCAAGAACAATATTTTGTGCATATGTTTTCCCTTTTTAACTGACTTTGAGAACTTAATCGAATCAACATAATGAAACTCAAGTTTTTCCTTCTAATTTTATGAAAATTCGGACGTGTTCTGTAGAGATTAAAATCAGATTAAAATTGAAAAACTAGCATTTATTGTTGACTTTTATTAAACGAATGGGACCCAATAACGGCTATATTTTCAATTTTAATTGAATTTTAATCACGATCGAACACATCCTTAATATTATGCGTGAATACAAGGATGATACACAAATTTTTGAAGAAGAACGAGTATATGAGTATTTGATTGAATATCGAATTATAATTAAAATATGATTTCTCCAAAATAAAGTAGAAAAATAGTTCATCATATATAAGTGGAGAATATCACATCATTGGTCCCCATCTTAGTTTGAGTAAGAAGTTGGTCTTTAACTTTTCCTATTACTGCACAATCAGGACATAGTGATGAATTGTAAAAGTCTACGTTAAATGATCATCTATTTCATACGAAACTATGTCTCAATTCAAATTAAGAACTATTTGTACATGGATCAATTTAGGACGCATTTGGCATGACTTTTAAGTAAGTCAAAATAAGTTTTTGAAATACAAAATATACTTTTGGACCATTTTGATTTTTTTTTTTTTAATAAAAAAGCTTATTTTAGTTAGAAGTGTTTTTAGAAATAATTGGTTCAATGTTGCTTTCTCTAGAAATACTTATAGAAATCAGTTTTCAAATACATTAATGTACATGAAGCTCATAAAATAATCGACTCTTAAAATTACGTTGAAAGATACTCTTCAAATTAACGTTTTAAAATAGAATGTGTTTGGCTCTTCAATTTTTTTTAATTATAGGTAGCGAGTTTGACTCTTCAACCAAACATACTCTATAATTAAATACATTTTAAATATCCCAATTCTCAATGTTTTATATATTAACCACCTAAATAGTAGTATATACAAAGAAAATAATATAATAATTTGGAGGGAAGTTGGTGAAAGTAAAATATAGAAAAAATAATAAATACATATTAGAAGTAGTAAAATTAAGTTTCTGTTTGATGTGAATTAAAATTAGATTTTTAGTAAATTTTGATAAAAGTTGATTAATTGTGTGATTGAAAAATTATAGATCTCATAAAATATGTGGTTAAAATTAATTATTGACATTGATTTAGATTAAAATTTTAATTTTAATTTTTCCCAAA